CTACTACTACTACTACTACTACTACTACTACTACTACTACTACTACTACTACTACTACTACTACTACTACTACTACTACTACTACTACTACTACTACTCTACTCTCTACTCTCTCTCTCTCTCTCTCTCTCTCTCTCTCTCTCTCTCTCTCTCTCTCTCTCTCTCTCTCTCTCTCTCTCTCTCTCAAAATACAGTTACATCTTATACGTGAATATGGGTGATAAGACGCATACTTCATCCTTCTCCTCATGGTTCTTCAAGAATAACAAATTGTTATTTCTGATACCAAAATTCACAGATTACAAAAATCTTGATCTAATTGCTGATTCTTATTACAAGAGAAAAGAAAAAGAAAGAAAAAACAGAGATACCAAAAAAGATTTATTCGAAAAATTATTCATGAGAAAGTGCTTATGTATGATAGAGAGCATAAAATTGATTAATAGGCTACATAGTACGTGCATAAATAAATAAGAAAGAAAGCCATGCCCCACCTGCTTTTTGCTTTTCTTTGCAATTCCTCAAAGGTTGGACGGGAACCTCATGTGTATTTTAGTATTTAATAACCCACTGAACCCACATTATACATTCCACATTATACAACCACATGTACCTTCAAGCTCTTAATTCTCTCCTCGTAAGTACTACTTCACATCTAAATCTTCCTGGATAAACCCACTGTTTTAAACCCGGGGATTTTCAGATCGCTGATCAAGATGGGGATGGGAATTGATTAGAACCTACCCTACTGGTTCTAGGATGGTATGGGTTCCGGCCTGATTCTCCCTAAAAACCCCTTTTTTAGCTTTTTAACCCTTTTATAAGTTTGGTTAACATTTTCTTGGGTTCTTTTAAATCCCCATCATATAAACCCCAATTTTTGTGATTCTTTTTTTTATATATAATATTTTTTTAGATCACTAATTCAGACTGAGCGAGACTCAATTCAGACCGCCAATCTAGTGATCGGACACAGATTTGTGAGAGAAGTTATATCCCACCGATCTGGGTTTTAAAACACTAGATCAACCCATGCTCAATAAAACTTGGAGAATCCCAATTAAAAGTGGAACAACGCCCAAATTGATTATTGGTTGTGCATTATTATTTTCTCAAATAAAAATGGTGTAAGAAACAAGCAATTGGAAATCAAGACATTGCATATTTAGAAATTCAAAATATTGTATAATTTCAGTAGACACAACCTTCTTTACAAATAGAAAAGGATAAAATAAAGCTTACGCCTTCTGGAAAAAAAAGTGAAATCCCATCTCAAAACTCACCAAAACATTGCAGTTTAGGTGATGGAAAACCATCAAATCGTTTATCTTGAAATTATGGTTGTGAAAAAAAAATTAAGATTTCAAGACCTAAATATAGTGTTCATTGTAACACACGATCTAGATCGTCAATTATCAAGTGTCCATCAATCCAAAAGATCTATACCATTTTTTAGCACGAATTTCAAAATCAGTGTTGAACATTGATTTTAGTGCCATGATAGAGATTTCCCATGCTTAATGTACTTTTCGAATGTGTAGTACAAAGGTGAGGCCTTACTTCTATTTTCCATAAGGCCTAGGCCTTATAGAAACTGCGTCGAATAAAATTTTTATTTTAACTTTTTTATACACCCTTACATTTGACAACTAGGGTGATTGTTATCTTGTACTATAGAATGGTTAACTATAAAAATTTTCGCTTAATTCTAGATTCAAAATAGCACTATCAATAATGCATTATGTTCTTTTCTTTTTTTTTGCTTTTTTTTTTCTTTTATCTAATCAGAAATTGAAACATTTACAAAAGAATTGGGAAAATAATGAACCTTTATGTAGAGTATGAGAGTATCATGGAGAGAGGAGGTAACAATCACAATATGAGAGAGAAAGAGAGATTGAGATTTTTAATGTAATAAAGGGTTTTATATATGATTTAGGTGGGAGCTCATCAATCCAAACGCCAAGATAACCAAGACCTGTCAATGGAGGCCAACTCAAGTTCAGCGCGCTATTTCAGATATGTTTTCTCGTGTGATGCTCTCTACCCACTGGACCTTGCATCACTAGTGGTTGTTGATGTTGTGGCCTCCAAAGCCTATGGAGAGGACATCTGAGCAATTGGTTCTATTTTCTGTTTATTTCTTTTCATTTTTGTTTAACCTTTTCCTTTTCATTGTGCTGCTATTGTGTTATAGTATATATTTGATCCTGTGTGAGTTGATTGGGTCCCTGGATACGCAAATGCCAGACCTAGTTTTGCAAATTTTAATATATGTAAAAGCTGATATTGAAAACAATATTGTTTGGCTGGCTGCTGGAAGAACCCAGTACATGAAAAAAACCATGTTTGAGACCATGAAGATAAAACCAAGTTTTGGCTGTTTGTTGTTAATGCAGTTTAGTTGTTCATTATGAAGTTGATAATTCCCTAGTCATACATGGCCAATAAAAAAGATTTTTCGGGAATAAATTATCAATAGTATAACAAATAAATTAGATGGTTCTGATCATATTTTTGCAATATCTTTATAGGTCAAATTCAGATATAATAGATAAAATCTCTATGCCAAGAGATAAGTTTTGAAATCTTGGGTCGAAATGAAACCTAAAAATAGGATCTATAGAGATATTACTCCTTTGCATTTTTGTTTGACCTTTTCCTTTTCATTGTGCTTCTATTGGGTTATGTCGTTTGGGTGCCTGGATACGCTAATGCCAGGTTTCTCTCAAAACCTGGTTTTGCAAATTTTAATATATGTAAAAGATGTTTCTGAAAACAATGTTGTTTGGCTGGCTACTCGAAGAACTCAGTATATGAAAAATACCATGTTTGAAACTATGAAGATGAAAACCATAGCTGTTTGTTGTTAATGCAGTTTAGTTGTTCATTCTAAAGTTGATGATTCCCTAGTAATACATGGCCAATAAAAAAGATTTTTTGGGAATAAATTATCAATAGTATAACAAATAAACTAGTTGGTTCCATCATATTTTTGCAATATCTTTATAGGTCAAATTAAGATATAATAGATAAAATCTCTATGCCAAGAGATAAATTTTGAAATCTTAGGTCTATCAGAAATGAAACCTAAAAATATGGCCTACAGAGATATTTTCCCTATTTTAAAATTACTTAAAAATATAACAACACAAGTTACATCAGCCCCATATTGGCTTAACTAGAAGAAAACAACTATCATTACATCATTATAATAATGCCCCTACTCGTTTCAACACAAAATCAGTAAGAATACATGATTATGGTGTGATTTTCTATCATTATATTTTACCTAAAATTGACCAATGCATTATGCAAAAGTTACCATTCCATACACAAATGTAACGCATGCTTACATGACAAAAGTTGAATAAGATTCATCAAATTTGTTAGTGGTTTTCTAGTGTAAAAGAAATGCATAAGTCAATGTACTCGAATTACTTACCCAAAAGAAAAAATGTACTCCAATCGTTCATTACAATCAATGAATAATGTTCATATGATTTATGAACGTGTAGATCTCATGCATGACGAATTTCATGCATAAAATTGGTCAAAACAATGCATTGAAGATCCATTCCCATGTTGCCGTTTCTAAAAAATGCAACAGCAGCACAAATATCTGTGACATGTAGCATATAAGAGTAGAAACGTAGCCACACACATCAATTAAGAATTTCACACATGATTTGAGTACAGAAACAAACCAACACCATAACGTCTATGTCTTGATGAGATAGCAACCCAAAGAAAGGAGTAAATTCAATTTAACATTCTCATATTCCTTTTATTGGTAAAACAAATCTCGTATTGTGTTTGCTTTTAAACCCATTTCTATGTTTTATTTCAACAGAAATTTCTCTTTCTAATAAGGGAATTCAACAAAATGACAAAACACATGAAACAAACTGCACAAACAAATCACAGTGAGAAGAACGGCATCACAAAAATACCTAAAGTTCATTAACAGATCGCAGAAGAGATCGCACAAGGAAATAAACAAACATGATCAACAGAAGATTCAGCCAAACATCAAGCCTGTCAAAAGAACCGAAAGCCCTATTTTACCAAACCTAAACAAATTTCCAACTCCCTAATCAGCCTAGAAAATAACCAAGACAAAAAATTCAAATCAAGTCGAGCGCTACTATTCTAACACAATTAATAAAATGAACTGCATACAAAGAAAAATGGATAGAGAGAGAGAGAGGCCGACCATCACTTGGGGACTGAGAGATGGAGAAGAGAAGCCAACCTTTGCTTAGGCAACGAGAGATGGAGAAGGAAATGACGGTGCCATCATTTATTAAACATTATTAGATTAGTAGTTTAGTACCCACACCATTTACCGAACATTATTAAATTTGAAAATTTGAAGTAACATATTTTTTTTAATATTATTTATTCTTGGTAAGAGTAATATAGAATGAAGGATGAAAATTAGTACATAAAAAAATAAAAATTTTAACATAATACTCATATTTTAAATTTTGATTTTATTACCGTGTGCGACAAGTTCAAATTCTCTCATGCTCTTATCATGTTGCGCTCACTCATGATTGAGCACACATCAAAGGGTTTTTGCTCTCCATATGCTCACAATACTTTCATGTTATATATTATTTAGTTGAACACTTGAAGTTCCTATTCTCACATTACTTTCATGTTATATTATTTAGTTGAAGATTTCAATTTCCTACTCCCGCATTACTTTCATGTTATATTACTCTCACGTTTAGCATAAGTAGAATCGTATTGTTGTGTAGCAAGAAATCACGATATCTGCGATATAGAAACTTGATTCCAAACAACATGGATTCGCAATTCCAAAAAGTTTGGAAACGTTTCTCACAAGCAAAATCGCATTCTTGTGTAGCTAAGAATCATAAAGTCCTCGATATGAAATTGTGTTTCGCAAAAAATGGAAACGTGATTCCTTTCTTTTAGAATCGACTTTCGCCAGAGGAAACGCCAAATCAAGATTCTGAAACGGAATCGCTACCCTCATAGGCGATTCGAATAACTATATTCAAGACTCAAGAGAAAAACAAGACACCCCAATTGGTTTTGTTTTCCTTTCAAGAAATGCATCGCCGACAGAGAAAACAAAGCCTCCCACAAACCCCAAAGCTCAATGTCGATGGTAACTGCATAGGAAATCAAGTGTGGTGGATGTGAAGTTTCCCATGCTGATCAAAGGATAAACTAACAGAAGCTACATACATGGTTTGGAACCAATTATGCTCTAGATCCTATCATCTTCTTATAAATGCTCATGTTATTATTGATACATTCTTGTTTATAGCAAGAACTATATGAGTAAATTATTGCAAACCCATCATCATTGATGCCACCCCTAGACATCATTAAATGGCTCCAAAGGAGTGTTCTATTCCTTCAATATTAAAAAGGAGTGTTTATAGGAACAATGAGTTTTTTTTTTTTTTTTTAAATTCATAATGGACTTGCTTTCCTAAACATTATAAAAAAGATTGAAAGGAACACCATATTTCATGGACCAAAATAAGTATATATTATAATTTTTAGAAGGAGTTTCACTGCAATGTCATGCATGGGGTACCCAACAAAGGGCATTGGTGTCGTTACCTGGGGAGGACAACAATCAATGAGGTAGAATAAGAAGGGGTGGGTTTCTGGGACTTTTCGCCATCTCAATAATTAGCTATATATATTTGTATCCTTTAAGAAAGATGAAAGCATGAAAGATTTTAGGACCAAATGGTACAGATTTTAGGACCATATGGTACACAAATAGAGGTTTGAAAGTAGGTTGACCAAGTTATTCAACAAGATTTTGAGAACAAAGAAAATGCTAGATGAATGGAGGAAAAGTACTTTGGTACTTATTTACCAAAATAAAAGGGACATATAGAGTTGTGCGAACTATCGAGGGATCAAACTCAGAACCACACTAGGAAACTATAGGAGAAAGTCATTGAGCAACAACTAAGACAGGAAACAATGTGTATCTAAAAATCGGTTCAAATTGATGTTAGTGAGTTCAACCATTCAAGGCGGCTATTTTCCTACTTAAACAATTGATTGAAAAGTTTAGGGAGAAAAGAAAAACTTTCACATGGTCTTTTTGGGTATAGAGAAAGCATATGATAGGGTACCTAGTGAGATAGTTTAGTGGGTGCTGGGAAAGAAAGGAGTCTTAAGAGGATATATTGACATTGATTAGGGAATCGTATGAGGGAACACTAAGTAATGTGAAGACAACTAGTGGAAGGACAAGTGAGTTTTCAGTGATAGTAAACCTGCATCAGAATTCAGCATTGCGGCCATATTCTTTATTTTGGTTATAAATGATTAACTAGGCATCTATAAGATGAGGTCCCGTAGTGTATGTTGTTTGCAGATGACATAGTTTTCATTAATGAGACTAGAGATGATGTAAACACAAAGTTAGAACTGGGATGCTTTAGAATCCAAATATTTCAAAAATTCATTGGACTAAGACAAAATATATGGAATGCAAGTTTATTAATAAAAAAAGATTATTTTGTTCAGAATATATGGACAAGAAGTACCTAAAAGACATTTATATTTGATAGTTTGGGTCGTCAATCCATGAGAAACAAGTGGTTAAAGAAGATTTTGCTTACAGAATTAGAGATGGGTAGATGAAATGGAGATGTGCTTTTGGAGTCTTACGACATACTAACAAAACTGAAGGGGAAGTTCTATAGGGCTTTTGTAATACCTAGCATACATTATCAGACAGAATGTTAGGTAGTCAAGAAACAAAATAACCATATAATGAGTATAGTTGAGATGAGGATGTTGATATGGATAAGTAGTAAGACAAGGAAGTATAGAATTTAGAATAAATACATGCAATAAGATAATTGAGCATATATATATATAGAAACACACGTAGCAAAAGTTTCAGATAAATCATCTATTCCTTGTTAATTGCCTCTCATATGTGTAATCAACTAAAGAAATGCAAAGAGGGAACAGCTAGAAAACAAGATAGCATAATTTCCAAAGTACTATATAGCAGGTGACAATTCCCAAAGCTATATCTATCCACATACACATTCACATACACATTCTAACCTCTTTTTTAAAGAAATAACACCATATTGCTAATGAGATATTTCTAAAAATTAATTCTGAGATATGAATTAAAGAAATAAGCAAAAGCCCATTAATGAGAAACACAAGCCTCAAAGCACCTCACATGAATCATGTGAAGTTCAATGAAACGTTTAGAAAGCTTTCCCAAATCAACCTCATTAATCCAAGTCAAGTCTGCCAGGCAACACCCAACTTTCAACCAAAAGTCAGATTTCATCGACTCTTCAAAGAAGATTGGGTGACTCAAATATTTGACCCGTTGAACTTCCCATTGCTGAAATCAATAACCCAGTTTTTTGAACGTGTGTGCTTTTTTCCCTTTTCTACCTTTTTGGAAAGGGGGCACAAAGCCCAAAAATTTGACTCCCAACATTATTTCAAAGCAAACAGAGGGTGCATCAGGCTCCAACTAAGCCCATAAGGGTCCAAGTGAGCCTTTTTTGCTCGCACTGTTGCATATCATACTAAATACAAATATTTTGACATGTACCATTTACCAATTTAATGTATGACTATAATTTATTGCAATACCATTTACCAATTTATTGTATGACTATAATTTATTGCAATACCATTTACCAATTTAATGTATTACTTTGTAATTTATTGTGAATCAAGAAGTATCAAAAATTAAAAGACACCTCTCTTGGTGCATAAATTTTTATGAAAAACAGATATGGATGCTTTTCCTGTTCTTTTCAACATTTTAAAATGTTTTTCCAGAAAATCAAAAGAATTAAAAACTTGCAAAGTTGCAAGTCAATCGCTAGATCAATTTCAACCCACTACGATCTGATCGACTTCGTTATTTCTCAAGTTCACTAATAAACCATTGTACATGTCACCCCCAGTGCCAGCATTTAAGCCTCCTCCCGGTAGCACGTTTCTACCTGGTTTCCATCACAATGCATGCTTGAGATTTGAGGGAACATCTCCTCAAGAAAGTAAGCAAAACCTGCCAGACCTTCCAAGACATACCACAATTTGCCACAACCAATGAGAAAAATGAATTGTCTTTCGAAAATACTCAACCATGTTATATTCTTTTCTATATCTCATATGAGCTTCCTTTTGTACCATCATGGCAAAATTAAATATCCTACAGAGATTCTTTTTTAGAAAGTGTCCCCCTAACATTTTCTCCCAAGATGATATTCCATCCCATCCGCATACCATCCTCTTAAAGATTACACAAGTCAGGATCCTTACATGGCACATTTCTTAGTCCACACGCACATGCACAACAAAAGAAAAGGAAAAGATCCAAAGAACATTCAAACGCTTTTCATGAATCCTTTTGCAACATCCACAAGCATTAGAAGAGAGGAAATATGTAACATCAAAAGGAAAAAGAACCCTTCATCATTGTATCTCCTGCCCAAAGATAGCACTCACCCCTTTAACCAGCAAGTATTTGCCAAGCATTCTACAAAAAAAGACTGCACATCGTTCGCAAGGAGCTCAAAAACATAGATCTTGAGCACATAAACGAAAACTATCACCCCTCTATGCCATTTTAAGTTTAGCCTTAAAAACTCATGTCTTCCTTGAAGTTGCTACTTGATTCTAAACTTGTCATATAAATAGCAAAACAAACAACAGAAGGGCATGAATCATTTCATTGAGCATCTTGGATGTGAAGTATACAAACTCATAAGGAGCTGTTTTAATAAAGCTTACAAGTTCGATATCAGTGCAACTAATGTAGTATTTCTTATCTTCTAAAGACCTTTTTCTTAGAATCAAGGCGATAATGAAAGTGGTGATTTTTATAATCCTAAGGGGCTTTTGTGAGAGGGTCTACAATTTGGGAAGGTCACCTTTTTTTTTTTGGTTAAATAGGTTGTTGGGTGTTCATGAGCATAGAAGCTGAATTCAGAATGAGTAGGAGCATAAGTATATAGATTTGATGCAGCAAGAACCAGAGAAGGTGATAGAAAACCCAAAAGAGGGGGAATGCAACCACTATACAAGGAGCACAAAAGCTCAAGAACTCAAAAGTACTTTACACAAATACAATAACAAAAATTCGTC